CTTCTCTCTCCCTCAGCCACGCGCAGACGGGGGGGTAGGGGGAGGGGGGCAGGCTGCTTAGAAGCACTCCTGCTTCTCAGAAGGCGCGGGCCCACTCTGCAGAGCGGCCTCCTCCTAAGAAGCCTTCCCCCCTCCCCCTACCCCCCTGTGCGCGCCGTCCACTCCCCCTGGAGGAGGAGGAGGGGGAGGAGGTGGAGGAGGAGGACGGGAGGAACGAGAGGAGGAGGAGGTGGAGGGATGAGAAGAGGAGGGAAAAGGGGGGAGGAGGGAGGAGGAGGAGGAGGATGAGGTGGGAGGAGAGGAGGAGGGAAGGAGGAAGTAGAGGGTAGGAGGAGTTGGAGAGGAGGCGGAGGAAGGAGGAGGATGAGGAGAGGAGGAGGAGGAGGAGAGAGGGTCGAGGAGGAACGATTCGCAGATCTCGATTTGAGGGGATGAGGAGGGTGAGAGGAGGAGGAGGCTGCGGAGGAGGGAGGAGGATGAGGGATGTGGAGGGGGTGAGGAAGGAGGAGAGGAGGAGGAGGGCATGAGGAGAGAGGAGGGGGGGAGGAGGATGACGTCCCAGCGAGTGCGAATCTGAGGAGGCGCCAGGGAGAGTACGGCGACAGGGGCCCTTGGGGGGCGCGTTTTCCCGCGCGGCAACGTAGAGATTGCAAGAGAATTATTTGCGGCCGCCGGGCCCGCTGGTGGAAACTCCGCGCTCTGGCTTTGAGCGAGCGAGTGTCCGAGCGGCCAGCAAGCCCAGACATGATCGCGTCGCATAGGAGCCCAGACCTCCTCGCGCTGTGGCAACAATCACGGCGGCAGGTTTTTTCGCTATTTTCGGCCTCCGGTGGCCCTTCCTGGCCCTCGGGGCCGTCAAAACACGACTCGGGATGCAAAACCGGCCCCGGGGATTATGATGTTCCAACCTACTTTAGCCTTGATGATCACCAGGAAGAATTTCGAGCGCCCAAACAAGTTCCGAAACTCAAGGGTTTTCACCTGTCGGGCCCTGGGAGACACTCGCCCGACACTGTTTCGACACTGTTTCGACACTCTTTTGACACTTTTCCGGGTGCTCGAGATAATTTCTGGGATGCGGTCCTTAAGTGACGGGAACAACATAACCTGGGGAGAGGGTTCAGACCTCTGGAGGTGGACGTTGTGAAAAAAACACAACGTCGGGGGTCTGGGAATCGGGGCGGGAGGTTTCTGTTTGTTTTCGGCCTCGGGGACGCCAGAACTCGGGTCTGCCGACTTCTTTTTGACGAGCGCGTCCTGGATTCTGACGGTCCCGCTTTCGGGGGATGTCTGCAGCGGGAGCCCGCGTCGAATTCCAGATTGGGTCTCGTCATTTTTAGGATGGCCCCGTCAGGCCAACCCGAGTCCCCCGCACCCGAGCCTTACGTCTTCCCGAAAGAATCAGGGCGGGAGGTTTTTGTCCGTTTTCGGCCTTGGGGGGGCCCTCGCCGGGCCTAGGGACCGTCCAAAAACGACTCAGGACGAAAAACTTGTCCAGGGGAAAGGGTCGGGACGTCTGGGGACGCCGTCCTGAAAAAATCAGGACGCCGCATGTCTGGGAGTACAGAGTCGTAGAACAAGTGCCTTGGTCGTCCTTCATTATCTCCCTCCTGTCCTCGTCCTCCTCCTCCCCCTCAGCCTCCTCTTCCTCCTCCTCCTCCGCCTCCTCCTCCTCCTCCTCCTCCTCCACCGCCTCATCCAAATCCTTCGTGTCCAAAACGAAGCCTTCGATCTCACACGAGAGAGTGCGGTCCTGACCGCGACGGCCAGCTTTCAGATCGACCAGGCGCACCGCCGAATAGACGGCCGCCGAGGTGGGCGTACTTCAACGGAGCCCCAGCGATTCCTCTTCGTGGTAACGCGGGATTGCCCTTCACGGCCCTGGCAGGCCCTCCCTCCTTCTTTGCCTGTTCCTCCTCCCTCCTCATCCTCTTCCCTCCCTCCCCTCATCCTCCTCTCTCCTCATCCTCCTCTCTCCTCGTCCTCGTCTCTCCTCCTCTCTCCTCCTCCTCCTTCTCCTCCTCCTCCTCCTCCTCCTCCTCATGATCATCATCACCACCACCACCATCATCAGCATCATCATCATCATCCTCATCCTCATCCTCATCCTCATCTTCGTATTAATCCTCATCCTCATTCTCATTATCATTACCATTACCATTATCATCATCATTATTATCATCATGATCATCATCATCAGCAGCATCATCACCATCATCTAGGATATTCGCAGTCTCGTATCGACAAGAACAGGCAGCCAAGGTGGGCGGGTGGGACTGCGGCAGTGATTACCCTATCCGCCGCCCAGTTTGGCTCCAGAGCCTGAGATACATAAGTTCACAATCCGCGAGCGCGCGCAGATGGTGCCGGCGCTCGTGCAGGCATGTGCACAGGAGGCCTCGGACCTTGGAGGGTTCCTTATCTGATAGCGGCGGCGGCGATGTCCAGGGCCACTCCACGCTGGTGGTTCCACTGGCTCCCAGACCCTGGATTCCTTATCCAACGCTTCCTTTCGAGTTTTTTTTTCTAAACAAAAAAAACGCTTCCTTTCGAGTTGCTTTCGAGTTTCGGAGCCCCGTTCTCAGTTCTCATCGGGGGGACTGCCTACTACCCACTGTGGGGTCACGCTCCGCGGCGTGACAGCGAGGCACTAGTGACCTGTCAGCTCTCCAGTGTAGTATACGTACTTATCACGTGCAGGTGAATATTTCACGAAGTGGTCCTCTGTGCTGCCTAATAATTCCTTATCCACTGCCCTCGCCGTACTGGGGATCGACTTCGCAGCACCTGCTGCCGGTGAAGGAGATCATCGCTCGACGCACGGAGCGAGGTCGAGCTCGGCGAGGGCGCGGGCCAAGTTCCCGGTGCAGGCCATGCTCGAGTTCGTACGGGCACCTAGGCTTAAGTCGGGCTTGTCCCTCTACAGGAGGAGTAATTCAAAAATGGTCAAAAAAAGTCTGTGGACTGTTTGTTTACGTATTTTGGGGCCTGTTTGATCATGTTTGGGGTATGTTTTATGTTTTGTCGAGAATACCCCTGGAGGGGGACACGCCTTCCTAAGGTCAGGCGTCGTCCTAGGCCTTGCCATATACAGCTGCGTCTCCTACTGGCGCCCGCCCAGCACGGCGCCTCGCCGTTGCACGCCACAGTGCGGAGTTAGGTCAACGACGGATGGTGTGTACAGAAAACATGTCTTCCTAGAAGGGTGGGTTGGGTCAGTGTTCAGCAGGCCTGTGTTGTCATCATCGTCATCATCAGCATCAGCATCAGCATCAGCATCACCATCATCCTCTATCTCATCCTTTTCCCTCCTCCTCCTGTCTCCTCCTCCTCATCCTCTCCATCTCTGCTCCTCGTCTTTCTCCACCTCCAGATAACGCGCCAGCGTTCTTGGGCCGCCGGATTGATTGAGTCCGTCGGAGCGCTGGTTCGTGCAGGGGCAAGGGGCAGGAGGACGAGAAGGACGATATGTAGGAGGATGAGGAGGAGGACGACGACAACGACAACGATATGTTCGAGTATGAATGAGGAGCATGAGGACGAGGAGGAGGAGGACGAGGAGGAAGGACAGCAATGACATTATTCCGATATTGCGAGAATGGCCAGACGATGACACGCAGGAGACTACAGTCAATATACCCACCTGTATCAATATGAAAGCTCATTATGTACTCCATGTTTCTGATGGACACCGCAGAGAGAACGACCTACAACACCACATAGAGCAGTTGGCAACAACCGTAAACACTACGGTCATTGCGCTTACGATCAATGGCCTACGGAAGTCAGACTGCGGAGACATCACCCAGCACGTGGACAAGCACGAGGACATGGACTACTGGACGGCGGCGCTGGCGCAAGGGCAGATCACTGCAGCGGTGGGCGGCCCACCCCGTGGATCTTGGGGCCCCGCGTGCCGGCGAGTTGATGAGCGGCGAGGCGGGCGGCAGCCCCCCACTACGCTCGACAAGTCGCCCATGGGGGGTTGCCTGCCTCACGAAGCCCGAGGGGCAGCAGATCGACCGCGGCAGCGCGCAGATATCGGAGACTGCGCGAAGCCGTGGTTGGCGGCCAGGCGCGCAGGCATCCCGTGCGGCCTCGCGCTGCCGGCGGCCCTGCCTGGGCTGCCGTCGTGGCCCGGCGCCTGGGAGACCCCCGGGCTCAAGTGGCTCAAGAGCCTCGAGGAGGTCGAGTACCTTCAGAGCTCCGAATCATCAGGGGTAACTCGGGTCAGGGATAACTCGGGTTCGTTTTTCGGGAATCCAAACCCGAGTTATCCCGGATAACTCGGGCGTCCAGAGCCCCGAATCATCAGGGGTAACTCGGGTCAGGGCTAACTCGGGTTCCTTTCTCGGGAATCCAAACCCGAGTTACCCCGGACCCGAGTTACCCCAGATAACTCGGGCGCCCAATACCTCGAGCTCGGGCTGGACGGGGGGCTGGCCACGGGCACGGTGGCGGCCAACGTGCAGCTGGGCCAAGAGGCAGGGCGCGAGCCTGACGCCCGCAGAGCCTCCCCGCTCAGAATCTCCTCCCTCCCTCCCTTTGTCTCGCCTTTTGCCAGGGCCCTGGTCGCCACATGGTCCAGGGACCTGGTCCCAGGTTGGGGCGCCTGGCCTCTTCCTGAGGCCCTTCGCTCGGCTTTGCGTCCCCCCCTCGACCCTTTTTCTCAGAGTCCAGCGGGGGGTGCGAGGGCTGGCGACTGGGCTGGCTGGTCTGGGTCCTGGGGCCCTTTCCTCGGGGGCCTGTCGGCCCCCGCGGCCCGTGGGATCCAGGGTCGAGGGTGTGTCAGGAGGAAAAGAAACACACAGACACAATGAATCCCAGGAAAATATGGGAAACTATGGGAAGTGGGGGGGGAAGACAGAAACCCAGACAATCTGGGAAAACATGGGGAATCTTTTTATTTGTGTGTATTTATTTGTGTGTCCTGGTCCGTAGCCATTTTGGCTCAAGGCCGCGCGCCAGCGCTCGGCCTGCGGCGCGCGCCCGGGGGGGGGATGGGGGGCGCACATAGCGCCCCGCCCAGGCGCGGGGCCATGGGCCCGCCGAGGGCGCCGTGCCGGCCCTGGCTGCTCTGCGGCGTCCTCGCGCTCCTGACGTGCGTCTTCGCCTTCCACGGCCTGCTGGCTGCTGGCCCGGGGGGCGCGGGGCTGCCGCCCGCGCTGTCTGGGAGGCTGTGCTGGGGCCGCCCCTGCGCGGGGGGCAAGGGCTGCGCAGGCGAGTCCGCTGCGAACGATGGCCCGGGCGGCGGCGGCTCGGCCGCCGCCGCCCAGCCCGCCGCACTGCCGGCTGGCCCGGCCGCCGGCGAAGCTGGGCTGCCCGTCGGCGCTGGCGCGGCCGCTGGCGCCGAGGCCGGCAGTCCCGAGGCGGCGGCGCAGCCCGCGGGCCCCGGCGCGGCCGCTGGTGCCGCGGAGGGCCTCGCCGGCGCGAGCCAGGCGGAGGGCGAGGCCAAGGCCAGGGCGGACGCAGAGGCCGAGGCCAAAGCGGCTGCTGAGGCCAGCAAGGCTGACGCAGAGGCCAAGGCCAAGGTGGACGCAGGGGCTACAGCCAACACGGACACAGATGCGACGACCAAGGCGGACGTGGAGTCCAATGCCAAGGCGGACGCACAGGAACTCAATTGGCCTCCGGACGTGCCGCAGGTGCCAGACGAGGACGTGGCGCTGTTCCGACAGAACTTCGGCAAGATCCTTTCTTGGTGGCACACTCCCCTGCCGAAGCCGAGTGCCAAGTAAAGCTCCTCATCATGGTCACCACGATTCCAAAGGAGGCCAAGCTGAGGCAGGTTCATCGGGAGACGTGGATGAGCCTTCCCGGCATCTGCACCCTGACGAACGATGTGGTCCAAGAGCCCCCCGGCTGCAGCGCCTTCGTCGCCTTCTTCGTTGGGTTCGACAACAAAACGGACGCATATCTTCGGAAGGAGATGTCGGCGAAGAAGGACATCGTTTTATTGGATACCTTTGATCGGTGGGACTTCAGCAAAATTCCCAAGGAAAAGCCGCCATTTGATTGGAAAGGCCTCAAGGAAGGGAAGGTGTGGGTCCCTTCCGAGCATTTGGTGAAGCCGAACTTCAGAAAAGAGGTGATTGAGAAGGTGCTCAAGTCGTTCCAGTATGCCTGGAAGAACTTCCCTTGGGTCACGCACTACGCCAAGAACGACATGGACAACTTCCCGTTCGTCGCCGAGATTCTGGGGGACCTGGAGGACCTGCCGCACTCGCCTGCGGGCATCAAGTCGAAGAAAATCATGCCCACCTCGAATCCGACGCCGTGGGTGGAGGGGCATGGCGTGTATTACGGCCAGTACCAGAGCGGGTACTTCATGCAGGGGCAGTTCTACATAGTTTCCCGCCCCGTGCTGGAGTGCATCTTCAAACACACTCACGTAGAGGCCTGCAAGGGCAAGCCCGGGGAGGACACGATGGTCGGCTGCCTCGTGACGAACACCTACAACGTTTCGAGGTCCCTGCAGGCCGGCATCCCGTGGTCGCGCAGCGGCCCGTGCCCGGAGCCCTGGCGCCTGGCCGTGGACTGGGGCAAGAAGGTCAGGGGCGCGTTGAGGTGGTGCCCCTGCAAGCCGAAGCAATGCCCTATCGGAACGGGGTCGCTGGAGAATTTCTGCCGGCACGAGTATCCTGCCTGAGCACATCGATCTTCAGGATGCCTCGGCCCTGCCGCGGCGGCGCCGCTCCCGCGGGGGTGTGCGCGCGCACAGGACGGCCGCGGCGGGCGGCGGAGCGCTGGCGCCGCCCGGGAACCGAGAGAGCGGGGCAGCGGTTGCGGCCGGCGCGCCTCCGAGGAGAAAAAAATATTTGTGTGTCCTGGGGCCCCTTCAGTGTGGACACCCGCCCCTCCTCCCTCCGATGGCGATCGATGACGGCAGCGGCCACGTCACTTCGCTCGTCGACGTCGCCTTCTCCCTCCGCCACGTGCGCGGCCCGACCGAGCAGGCCCGCGGTGGCGCGGGCCAGCGGAGAGGGCGCAGGGGTAGGAGGCAGAAGCGCCGTGGAGCGCGAGACGAGAAACGAGGAACGAGGAAGGACAAGGGGAAAGGAGGATGAGGAAGGGGAGGAGGAGGAGGAGGAGGAGGAGGAGGAGGAGGAGGAGGAGGGAGGGGGAGGAGGATGAGAGGAGGAGGAGGAGGGAGAAGGAGGAGGAAGAGGAGAGGAGGAGGAGGAGGAGGAGGAGAGGGAGGAGAGGAGGAGAGGAGGAGGAGGGAGAGACGAAATAGGAAATTGGAGGAGGAGGGAGAGCATGAGGAGGAGGAGGAATGGAGGAGGAGGAGAGGAGGAGGAGTAGGAGGAGGATGAAAGGAAACATGCGGGGAGGGGAGGAGGAGGAAGAGGAGGAGGAGGAGGAGGAGGCGGAGAGGAGGTAGAGGCGGAGGAGGAGATGAGGAGGACCGTAGCACGCCGAAAACGTATCAACGATGCTGCAGTTCACCGTTTTCGTTTTTTTGTTTTGTTTTTTCTCCTAGCAAGTGCTGACAAGCCGCCGTTGCCCTTACAAGAGCGCCCCTCGAAAGATCCGCCTCCTGTGAGATTCCGTACCATCTTTACAGCCAGTACGAAGGAGCGTGAACTGGTACGTTTATGCAGTTCAGCACCGTGTCCAGCGAGATCCCGCTTTAAACAAGAGCCGCCCCTGCCGTGAGACCCTTGCACTAGCTTGCTCCTCTTTCTCCTCCCCTTTTTCTCCTCCTCCATCCTCCTCCTCCGTCCTCCTCCTCCTCCTCCTCCTCCTCCTCCTCATCCTCCTTTCCCTCCTCCTCCTCCTCCTCCTCCTCCTCCTCCACCTCCTCCCCTTGTAGTCGTGTGCTTCGAGGAAGTCCCGAGCGGTGGCCCCATCCGTGCAGCTGCTAAATGCGTCTCGAGGTCCCGGTGCCCAGACCCAGGGAGATATCTAGCAAGCGAGCGTCTCATGCCGAGCACAAGGAATCAGAGCCCCGAATCATCAGGGGTAACTCGGGTCAGGGATCACTCGGGTTCGTTTTTCGGGAATCCAAACCCGAGTTACCCCGGACCCGAGTTACCCCGGATAACTCGGGCGTCCAGAGCCCCGAATCATCAGGGGTAACTCGGGACAGGGCTAACTCGGGTTCCTTTTTCGGGAATCCAAACCCGAGTTACCCCGGATAACTCGGGCGCCCAAAGGAACGAAAGGACCAAGGAACGAATGGACTGGTCGAGTACAGCGACGTGCTGCTCTTGTACCAGCAGATCTGAGAGACCGGGTGGCTTGGCAGTCCGCTGTCCGCCGCCATTGCATGTAGAGTTGTGTCCACGCGCTTCGGCGTCTGACTTTTGCGTTGCGTTGCGTTGCGTCTCACGTCGAGCAGATACGGTCCCCCCGTCCACGCACCAACTGCAGCTGTGGGAGACGAATGTTCGCGGCGCTCAGGCGAGAACCCCATATCAAGCACGCGGCGCCCCCAACGGTGTTTATGGTGACGGCCACATTTTAACAACCACCTCTCCCCATTCTTGTTGCTGCTGCAAGTTGTTCAGACGAGCGCGCGCGGCGATGAGGCGAGAACCACATTTTGAAAACCATCCGCCCTCCTTCCCTGTAACACTTGGAGATCCCACGCTCCAGGACCATCTGTTGCGAGGGCGTCTTTGGCGAAACGCCTGGCTCGCGCTGCCGACAGGTTTGGTGGTCAGACCAGGAGTACAAGGAAGAAGGATGGAGGAGGCAGGGAGAGGTGAAGGCAGGAGGGGGTGAGAGGGAGGCCGAGGTGGAGGAGCAGCAAGCAGGAGGAGGGGAGAGGAAGTGTCGGAGGGGGAGGAGGAGGAGGAGGAGGAGGAGGAGGAGGGGAGGTCGAGGAGGAGGGTCGAAGGAGAGGGAGGAGGAGGAGGAGGAGGAGGAGAAATGCAGGAGGAAGGGGAGGAGGCACGAGGAAGCGCACGCGACGTCGGCAGCAAAGAGGAGGGATACCCCTCCCGGGTCGCGGCCCGCGCTTTCGCCGCCAGCGAGCAGGCGCCCGCGCGGCTGGCGGCGCGGCCGCGGCCGCTCCCGCAGCGGCGGCAGCCCAAGGAGGTTGCCTTCCTCCTTCTCCTCCTCCTCCGCCTCTCCTCCTCTCTCCTCCTCCTCTTCCGCCTCCCCCCTCCTCCTCCTCCTCCTCCTCCTCCTCCTCCTCCTCCTACCTCCTCCTCCTCCTCCTCTCCTCCCCCCTCACCCCTCCACCTTTTCCTGCTGCTGCTGCGCTGCTCTTCATCCTCCTCATTTCCTCCTCCTCCTCCTCCTCCTCCTCCTCCTCCTCCTCCTCCTCCTCCTCCTCCTCCCCTCCTCTCTCTATTTACCTCCTCGTCTCTCCTCTTCTCCTCCTCCTCCACATAACTCATATGAATACTACTCTCCCTCTTCCCCTGATGACGGCTTGGGAGTATTCGGACCCCCCCCCCCCCCCGCGTACTGCTTTTTTATACAGGTTTCCCCGGAGTTGGGTTTTCGCCTGCATTTGGTTCTAAAATGCTGCTCTCGCTGAGGCGCCGGCCTCATTTTCGGGCCCCGCTCGTTCCGAATCGTGCCCCCGCTGCATCGCTGGCCTCATTTCCGCCGGCGTCCGGGCTGCACGCCCGAGCCGGCGCCTGGGCCGGCGCTCGTGCCGGGTTCGGAGCCGGTTCCGGCCGGCGCCGGAAAATTGAGTTCCGAGGCGGCGCCGAGAAAAGGCCATTCCAATACACATTTTTCTTTTGAAAATGCTGAATTTCTGCTTCTGGCGCCCGGGATTCCCGCTCGTTCCGAATCGTGCTCCCGCTGCAGCGCTGGCCTCATTTCCGCGCTTCCGCTCGTTTCGACTCGTGCTCCCGCTGCAGCGCTGGCGTCATTTCCCGTGCCATGCCACGGCATGCAATGCAATGCTAAGTTGATACTGCGCTTCGCGGTGCTCTTCTACGCCATGCCATGCCGTGCTCTACAATGCATCGCGTTCCCTTTCGGGATCATTGCCCTGCTCGACATCCGACTGTGCGAGTAGAGAGGGGATCTGCGCCATGGTAAGGGATGGGAGGGAGGGGTAGGATGTCAGATATGACGCGAGCGCACCTAGCTTGTCCTCATCCTCCTCCTCCTCCTCCTCCTCCTCCTCCTCCTCCTCCTTCCCCCTCCTCTTTCCCCTCTTCCTGTATCACCCTCCTCGCCCTCCTCCTCCTCCTCCTCCTCCTCCTCCTCCTCCTCCAGCTCCGACTTCTGCGCCGCCCCCTCCGATTCCTGCTTTCTCCCCTCCTGCCGACGTGCTTGCTCCGAGGTGGGTTGCGCGCTCCCCTTTGATCGGGGGGCCTCGCGGTGAGGAGGCCTCGCCAGCACGGATGATCCCCCCTCCTCCGAAGGGGCTGCACGAGGAGATGCTATGTCCCCAGAGATCAGACGCTCCAAAAAAGTTGGGGCGGGCGTTTTTTCGTTTTCGGCCTCTGGGGGCCCTCGCCGGGCTTCGGGAGCGTCAAAAAACGGTTCAGGACGAAACACCAGCCCTGGGGAAGTGGTCCGGACTTCTGGGGCCCACGCATCGAAAAAACTGGAGCAGCCATATGTCTGGGTCTTATTGACCGTGAAGCGCGCGGGTGCCGTTGCTTCCCTCCTCCTCGTCCTCCTCCTTCTTCTCCTCCTCCTTCTCCTCCTCCTCCTCCTCCTCCTCCTCTTCCGAGTCCAAACAGGTGCTGGAGCTGGACCTGCGACGCACGGTGGCCGCGGCAGCGCGCGCCCCAATCCTCGTGGCACAGCCCGCTTCTGTCCCTCCTTCTCCGCGAGAAACTGGACAATCACATACCTCGGCAGCGGGGCTGGTCCTCGCACGGCTTTTGAGGAGGTGCTCGGCGTTCCGTTGATAAGAGTGTCTTCTTTCGATCCTTTTCGTCGTTCTGCTCTCGAATCTGTTCCTTTCGTCGTTCAGTTGATAGATTCCTTTCGTCGTTCTGCTCTCGAATCTATATCATCGTGCGCTGACGGTCGTCATGGACCTTCCCGTGAGCGAGGCGTTGGACAGCGTACCACGGCACGCTTCGTCGAGTTCGGACCGCGCCGCGGCAACATGGCCGGGGACGTACGGAGCTTCTTGGTTCGCGTGGCCAGCGTCGGACATGATCAACGTCACGTTAATCCAGCGGTGGTGCCCACGCTGACGAGCCACACTCGACGCCCTCGTCGACGCGCTCTGGAGCAGCAGCCTCTGAAGGGTGGGCCTCTCTTCTGGAAGAGCCGTGGGCTTGTCCGTCGTGCGAGCTGCAGCGAACACCGGCGGGGCGTCCGAGGGCGCGGGGGCTTCCCCGTGCGGCGGCCACGCAGGTTCGGCGCAGGGGCAGCCCCCGGCAACGCAGAGCAGCACGCTTCGACCTCTTACGCAGATCATCTCCACCCACCAAACCACCCCAACCCAACCCGAAGGGTCGGATTTGCCCTCGATTTCTAGTGGGGGGGGGGTCGGGAAACGTCGAAAAAGCACATGTGGAACCCTTACCCCCCCCCAACCCGAAATTCGGGTCTTCGGGTTGGGTTGGGGTGGTCTGGTAGGTAGTCAGATCAGCACCGCACCACGTTGAAGCATGTCGATGAGGTACGAGTGGCATGTCGCGTCCCACTGTTGGGGGAGATCATCGGTAAGCATGGGCAGATGCTGGCTGGAGAAGAGAAGTTCGGAAGTTCGGA